ATGATATGATTTGTGCTATATGACATAAAACAGTAACAAAACTAAAACTATTATTACACAAAGTAGATAATTAAAAAGAGCAACAAGGATGTGAATTTACTGAAATTGAAAACACAGTGAAAAATGTATATTGTTTGCCATTTCGAAGTCAAATCTTTAATGAACATAATGAACAGCCCCTATGTAGTTAGTCTTCAAAACTAAAACTATTATTACACAAAGTAGATAATTAAATCAAAAATAAATTGTTTTATTATTAAACTTAAATTAAATTATATATAAAAAAATATACTATATTATAAAGCATTTAACAAAAACTCTTAAAAACCACTTTTTATGCGTAAAGTACTGTTTATTAATGCATATTATTTAAAACTCAATATTACAAGTAAATTGTACGTAAATACAACTTATTAAAACTCCATATCTGAATTCATATAACTAACTGCAGATAAATATAATCAAATACATGATAAACATCTCATTTTAAATATTAAAAAATCTAAAATATAATTAGGATAATCATTAAGTTCTAACATAATACTTAATTATTATATTTACAAAATTTATATTATTAAGCTAAAAATAAATTATTTTATTATTAAACTTAAATTAAATTATAATAAAAAATAAATTAAAGAAATTACAAGAAAATGAAAACTTTTAAATAGTTGATTTAATATCAGCATTGATATGTTTTTTTTTTAATTTTTATGATATCTTCAATTTTATTGCTTTCTTAAAAACACATAATCTATATCTATACTATATTATAAAGCATTTGACAAAAACTCTTAAAAACCATTTTTTATGCATAAAGTACTGTTTATTAATGCATATTACTTAAAACTCTAGATTGTAAGTAGATTGTGCGTAAGTACAACTTATTAAAGCTTCATATCTGAATTCGTGTAACTAACTGCAGATAAACATATCCAATATATGATAAACATCTCCTTTTAAATATAAAAAGTTAAAAAATATAAATAGGATAATAATTAAATTCTAACAGAATACTTAATTATTATCTTTATAAAATTTATAATATTAAATCAAAAATAAATTATTTCATTATTAAATTTAAATTAAATTATAATAAAAAATTAAATTAAAAAAATTATATTAAAAATGAAAACTTATAAATAGTTGATTTCATATTAACATTGATATGTTTTTTTCAATTTTTTTTGATATATTCGATTTATATTTTATTCAAAAATAAATTTTTTTTTAAAACACATAAAATCGTATTATTAAACCGACAGAGACAAATAATAAAACTGAACATTAAAATCGAGACGTATCTCGCTCCATTACACGAGTACTCTTCTAGTGCTCAAATAGATGATAAACCCTAATATATAAATATTGAATATAAAATTAAATTTGGGGGATAACTAATACGAAGAATTAGTTAGGATTCGAGCTGTTTGGAAGGCGAAACAGCATATTAATATATATTAACTTTTAAGTTTAATCGCCATAACCATTTGATCTCAACCACTTTCTGTTCTGCGTCTTCCCTCAACCATCAACGGTACGTACTCCTTCTTTCTTTCATTCATTCGTTCATGTATGTATATATATTATATACACACACATGTGCGTGTATCTGTAGTGGTGGATTCAAGATTTTGATGTGTAGATTAAAGGTCTGTAAAGTTGTTTGATGTGTTTTTAGATTAATTCCATCGTTTTAAGGGATTTTTAAAGTTTTTTGGTTGTTTTCAAGAGATTTTTAAAGTTCTTTGTTGATTTTGAAGGATTTTTTTGGGTTTTTTGTTGTTGATTTTATGAAGATTTTTTTGGTTGAGGGAGGGGGGGGGGTTATGAGCCGGAAATTATTGGGGGTCCATCCCTCCACCTTGAATAGACTCCATCATCTCCGGCGTGTGTATCATATACATATATATATATGTACATATATATATATATATATACACATATATATAAAGATATGTATATATACATATATATGTGTATATATATATGGAGAGTTAGGTATATATAAAGATATGGTAGAACACGAGAATATATACATATATATGTGTATATATATGGAGAGTTAGGTTTATATAAAGATATGGTAGAACACGAGAATTGACAATTTATATGTATATATGTAAGTTTATACATATATACACACACACACGCTGCTTTAGTGGTGGATTCAGGATTTTTGCCTAGTAAGACAGGTGGATTAAATGTATGTAAAGTTATCAGATGTGTTTTTAGATTTATTCCCACCGTCTCGAAGGACTTTTAAAGTTTTATTAATAAGGGATTTTTAGGGTTCTTTGTCGATTTTGAAGGATTTATTGGGGGTTTTCTTGTTGATTTTGTGAGTTTTTTTTGGTTGATGAAGGTAAAACGAGAAATTATTGGAGGAACTATGATAAAAAGTAAAAATAAAATGTTTTTAACTTAGGTAAAAGAGATTATTTTTAATGGGGGTTCATCCCTCCACCTTGAACGTACTGCATCCACACCGGTGATTGTATTATACACATATATACACACACATATATATATATATATATATATATAATATATATATATATATATTTATGTATGTACATATGTATATATATAGAGACATATAGAAAAATGAACCTCCCTATATATACAGAAACATATAGAAAAATGAACCTCCACATTTTTTTTACTGTGAAGGTTCGGTGTTTTACTGTACATTCACAATGTTCTGCTATAAAGATTTAGTATTATTGTGTTTTTGTTGTGAAAGTTCGGTGTTTTAGTGTACTTTCACAATGTTTTGCTGTGAAGATTCAATATTATTTTGTGGTCTAAAACACAGAGAGAGACAGGTTATTTTATATGAATCTATAACTTGATTATGTGTTACATGCAGCAAAACATACGTGAAGGGGAAAAATGCAACCAGTAGCTACTGAATCGAATGATGGTGTTTTGGATCAATTCCGACCGTGGATCGATCTTCCCCGCGATATCTTATCGGACATCGCGGATCGTTTAACGTTAATCGAGCTGCTAAGTTTCCGTGGAACCTGCAAAGATTTCCTATCTGTTTCAGCTGGCAAATCGGCTCAAATCCAATCTCGGCTTCCTCCATGGATACTGACCTTTCACGAAAACGACTGCTCCGAATGCATCCTCTACAACGATCTCCAATCCAAAACCTACAAGCGGAAGATTCCGGAACTCGATGGCGTTTATTGTCTTGCATCGTATCAAGGATGGCTTCTTCTATTCAGAGACGGATTGCTTTTCTTCTTTTGCCCTATTTCCTTCTCGAAGATCTCTCTCCCGGAATTCCCGCACCATTGCTTTGACGGCCATGTTGCCTCATTTTCCGACGTACCCACCTCGCCGAATTGCATCGTCGCCGTTATCAACCGGGCCGATGTGTCGCAGGTTGAAGTAAACGTGATTGCGAAAGGGGAAAAGTCGTGGACTCAACACATGGTACCAAAATTCAGAGGTATGAGCACCGCGTTTACTGCGGCAACATTCATCGACAAGAAGCAAACGTTTTACTTCATGGATAACGCGAACTCGTTACTGTCGTTCTCGCTGAAGGATAAGAAATGGAAACCGTACCAAATCGTGACAGGCAAATCGAAGGATATGGAAACATTGCCTTATCGTTATATAGAAAACGTGTTTAAAAAAAGCATCGCTGGTTTGAAAGGCCCGTTGGAGCTTGAAGACGATGAAGATATTGCGGTTTGCGGATTTACGTATCAAAATCATTCAACATATCGTCGGGCTGTGTATCTAAACGAATACATAGATACCTTAGATGCTAACAAGCGTGTGCGACGGGTCGTTTGGATTCAACCACGGTTCTTCATAGCCGCTCGTAACCACCATTGGTAGACCTTCGTAAACGCGGTGTTTATGGAAACAATCTTTCTACCCTCTTGGTTTCTTTTACCCGTTTTGGATTCTCCATTTCTATCTTTCTAGAATTTTCGGTTCGATTTGTCGGGTTTTTTTATATAAATTTACCGGGTTGTTGAAATTTCGAAATAAACTACACATTTTAGGTAGAGATGATCATTTGTCCGCCTAGGCCGGACCTAACTTGTTTCTTTTTGTCCAACAGACAACTTTTTTTCTTCGGGCTTCACAACTTGTCATTGCCCGCCCTGTAAATGGTTCGGGCTTCCCCATGAGCTAACGTTTTAAAAAATGTAACTCTTATAAATCTATAAACTTAATTACCAGTAATTAATTAACAAATGTAAAACCAAAAAGTAAAGGAAAAACACAATTACAATTAAAATTTTAAACAACTAAAGTGAAACTTGAATCTCAACAAGTGGAAAAAGAAATGAATGACACATGAATCTTGACAAGTAGAGAAAGAAATGAAAAACAAAATTCAGAGTTGAACCTTTTAATGAGATCATTAAAAAGTGAACAAACAACCTCTTCGTTTTGATTTCTCAAGAATAACCAAAAAGTCTTATCTTATAACTTTAATAATTTAATTTAAGATATCTTAGTATAATTTTAATTGATGATTAAAAAAATATTAATTATAAACTATAAACAGGCTGGACGAGTCTGTCGATATTTATTTTTATATTGCCCATGTCCGCCCGTCAGGGCCGGTCCTAAGATTTTTTATGTCTTGTGCAAAAATAATAAAAAATGCCCTAAGCCTATTTTTTAAGCCAATGAAACAATAAAAACATGCGATTTTATTATGAGTTTAGAACTTATTCAAACTAAGCATTTCATCCCTAGGTTGAATTTCATTAATTATAATAAAAAAATACAATTAGGGGGATATAAAAATCAAAACCCCGAATACAAAATATAAAATGATGAAAGGATAAATTCTAGATTAAGATCGTGTTTCCTTCTTTACCAGTTTTCCCTTTTTTCAAATTTAAAGACAGGGAAAACTGTAATAAGTTTTTAACTAAAATAGTAAATTACATCCAAATTAGTGTCATAGTAAGCAAAAAGTAAAACTCAAAAGTTACAGGTCTAACCACTAAAGGCTAAGAGTCTATCTGTTAGTAACTTAATAAATTTAATGGCTTAATGACTATTATTCACTCAACTATGCATGACTATTTCGTAGTGGCTTAATGATATAGAAAGTGACTTATCCAATAAGCTTCTAGGGGGAGATTTATATATAAAGCAAGGTTTTTTGTTTTTCGAACATGTCCCTTACAACTAAAAAAACGCTCCTTACATCTACGAAAAAACTCTCACAAACAAAAAAAATTCCAACTTATACAAACATATTAATTCATACAGACAACTTTATACAAACAAAAATTTTTCCAACTTTTTCCAACGATGTGCATTCAATATTCATCACCACTAGGCCTTAGGTCTGTTTTTATAATTAAAGTCCAGTTGTCCAATTCCCTAATTATTAAACCCAAAACTAGTAATAAATGACAACTTGATATCCCTTTAGCCTTTGATATTCTGTGCGGCCGCACGAGCTGCACGTGGTCAGGGTCGACCCTGCCAACTTTGAGGGAAGAAGAGAACAGCCTGACAACGGTTCGATCCGATTTAGGTGCCCAGTTAGGTGCCAAACAGACCCCATCATTGATTTGATAAATTGATAAGGTGAATACGTAGTCTATTCAATGCTAGGCTGAGTATAAGGGACTCAAAAAAAWYTCTTTTCGTCCTATGAACTTTAAGGTGTATGAAGTTTCATATTTGATTTTTAAGTAGAGCGATAAAGACTTCATTTCACTTAGCTTAATCTAAGCCAGAGGCAGACCTACGTCAAGATAACCTCCCTTGAAAAACTTTGGTAGTGTTCCTGAATCTGAATCCACATAATGACTCAGAGCACATGGAGCCATCTCCTTATTTTTCTATCAAAAATAAAAATGGCGGACTAGCTGATATTTATATCAGTTAATGAAAGAGCCCAATGCACAAAAAAGCCCGTTAATTTTAATGAACAAACCCGGGTCCGTCCATTTTTTCGATAATGGTTGTTCAAGCCTGTGTTTTTAGCGGACCGAACGGGCCAGGTCTAACGGGGTCGTCCGCCCATGAACAACACTAATTTTAGGCCATGTGGTTTGTTAAAAATTGTCATTTTCGTTCCCATGCGTTTGGAATTACAGTTTTCGTATTTGTAGTTTACAATTTATTGTTATTTTCGTCCGTATGTTTTAGGAGTAAAAACAAAGAGATATATTAAAACATCTTCAACATATTCTTTAAAATAGAGAATCAAAATTCAAAGTCTTTAAATTACTTTAGGGCAAATTGCATGAAAAAATAGAGTACTTTAACTTGATTCCTATTTTGAGTAGCATACTTTCAGAACTTATATTTTGGTATCTAAGATGTAACATTTTAAACATTTAAGTACCCGAGTAACATGTTGAAACATTAACCGGTTACCATGTTATGCGGCGAGTGATGTGGTATTCAACTCAGTATAAAATTTTATTGAATTTTAAATTCAAAAGGTAAGTCAAATCATTCGCTACATCAGCATGGTTTTCTGGTTAATGCTTCAACCAGGTACCCAGGTACTTAAATGTTTACAACTTTACATCTTAGGTACCAAAATAAATGTTCTAAAATACGTTACCTAAAATAGGAATCAAGTTAAAATACGTTATTTTTTCATACAATTTGCCCATTGCTTTAAACTACAACAAGATTTATGTTTCAGATATTATAACATGAATTATATCATTAAAATATTTTATACACATAATAAAATATCAGCTTTCTCCTAAATATCTAATTTCAGTGTTTCTTATTCATGACTTCTCCAAATTTAAAGAATTTGCACTTATCATACTTCATCCATCGAAATGCTTTCGAGAATCCGTTAGAGCAAAAAGAGAAATTGACCAAAATAACCAATCTCCTCAACCAAATTTACTTTTTAGCCACTGTTGGCATCGAATTCTCATTTTACCCAAAATTTACAGAAAAAATGGGGATCTTTATACAAATTTGCTTTTAATTTTTTTTTATCTGGAAATAAAGCATTCGCGTAAACTCCGATTAAAATGGGAATTGATTGGAAAAATGGTTTAAAAGTAAATCTGATCGGAAAGATCGACTATTTTGATCGATTCCACGAACAAAAAACTTCCCAAAAATCCTAAAGATCTCTATTTTCGTTATTTTAGAAAATCTGTTCAAGATGCTTCTTTAACATCTCACACATCCTAAAATCCCACTATGATCAAGTAACAAGTAATCTAAACAAAACCACAAGGGTGATGCCTGATTGGTTTGAGCTTGGCTCTAAAGGTCAAAAGTACCAGGAGGTGACAAGTTCAAATCCAAGGAGGAATAAAAATCTCCAGTCGGCTCGCATAGCAGGTTGGATATCCAGGTTAATAAAAAAAGTAATCTAAACAATCAAGAACAACAATTAAACTCAAAATCATATGTATTGATTGTTTCTCTCTCTAGAAACTCTCTACAAATTATAAACATGTAAATCTAAAAATGAGTCATCTCTTCTACTACCAACAACACAAAGTATTTATATGAATTGACTAATACAAAGTCAAACTACAATTTCAGACATTTAGGTGGCGTTTGTTTTTTAAGAGGT